ATGCAGAGAAATTCAGTCCATTTTATCACTGTAGCCTGTGAAGTTATGATTGCAGAATTTTTTTTTACCCACCTGACCTTTAGGTTTGGTTATAGTTGCCACCTCTAGTTATTCTACTAAATATGCTTGCTAAATTTAAAATATATACAGTGGTATCTTGGGCAAAATGCCAAATAAGCCACAGCCGAAAATTCTGTGCATTCCTAACTTCTCTACTGCCCGCTGGGCGCTGGTCTGTGGCCGATTCCCGCTGCTCTCCCCTCGCACTGCTCTACATCACTGCCTGTTCATTCATGATTGTGGACATAGTAACTCATACTATATCCACAGTTTATGAATGGAGAGGAGCACTCGGTATAAAGACTTCCTGTTCATTCATAACAGGTGCAGAATAAAGGATTGAGTGTCCTCAATCTCTTTTTCTATTCTAAAAGGGAAATGTCAGGGGTCTAAACAGACCCCTGATATTTCCCCAAAGCCCTCGACAGTAAAGTAAAACAAATAAATAAATATAAAAATAAGATAATTGAAAATATTTTAATAAGGTTGGAAAAAAATAATTTTCGGTTTTAGAAATATGTATGTCTTTGCCATGCTGCCTTGATAACAAGATGTTAAGCACACTTTAAAAGATCAATGCATTTTACTACATTAAGTTTTGCTGTTGAAAAGAGGTCCTTTATGCTTGCTGTGATAATGCCACAGTGACATTTCCCATGATATAAAGTCTGGTAGGTATATTTCTTCTATACCTACAGGTAGTTCTTATATTTTTTTCTTTATTCCCATTTTCTCTCATTCAACAGCAAAGAACACTTTCTTATATTGATATAATTTTGATAATGGCTTCTACTTTAGAAACTCACAAACTTGTGAAAAATGAAGCAGGCACAGACGATGAATGAGATAGGTATATGATGAAGAAATTGGTTTATGCATTGCATTGAAAGAGAACTTCTGCAAATGGAATGTCAGGTCGCAGTCAAGATTTCAAGGCAAACTGCATTGTATTTCAATTTCATGTATTCACAGTTGTTTTGCGTTTTACTGGAACATCTCCATCTTTCTGTTATCAAACCCTAAGATAAAACTCCTTTTATAACTGATGGTGCTACATAATTGCCGTTTTTCATACCAAGCTAACATACTGCATAAGAGATCATTCACAGCAGGCTACTTACATGTATCATTACTATAATTCTTTAGTGCCAATTACATTTCAATTGTCAAGAGTCAAGTAACATATATTTATGATTTATGATACTGGCTCAAGCTACACCTGCTACTTATTCCATTTGTATGTATAATAATTTTTGCCATTCTCCAGTGTCTTACGTAAAGATACTGGGGTTGATTTACTAAAGGCAAGTAGATTGTTAATTTTACAAGAGAATTTGCACTTTACAAAGGAATTGTTCTCTAGATTAGTGACTGAGGTGAAGCTATGCTGACTTCTATCATTCAACCACATACAAGCAAACATACAGCTTTTTTTATTTTCCTTGCACATGATTGGTTATTATTTGCAAATTGAATTTCCAACACATTCATTAAGCTAAGGGAAACTTCACTTGCAAAGTGCAAATTCTCTTGCAACCCTTTGCACACTTCTCTCCATTGAAACACAAATTAGCATTAGTGTATGTTTTGTGAAACCAACACAAATGAAAGCCAGAGGCTCATAAGACCTAAGTTATGAGTTAGGAATTATATGTTTCTATAGAATTACAGATTTTATCATGATATGTGTCAACCATGCAGGAGCTCTAAAATCAAGTGTTCCTGTTTGCATTAGCTATATAGAAGTATATACAGCTTTTATATAGTTCTTGCACTTACAATAAATGCAGAATGACATGCATACTTCAAGTCCTACAAGATATAAAGCATTGCTACAGAGAAATAATTGATTAAACATTATCATGTGGAACCCAGTAAGTAAACATATGCCTAACCAAAGCAAAAAAGAATGGCAGTCATGAGCTCCATACTGTATTGGTTGTTATATGTTTTTGTTGTGGTCTGTCCCATTCCAGGGGTGTTCTTCACCTATAGTGGTGAAGTTTGCCGATACACAGAAAGACAAAGAACAGAGGCGTCTACAGCAACAGTTAGCACAACAAATGCAACAGCTTAATACTGCCACATGGGGGAACCTCACTGGACTTGGAGGACTTACGCCACAGTATTTAGCAGTAAGTATTTCATTTTCAATACCACAATAAGATACTTTTTAACAGGTATATGATAAAATTGCCATTTCTATTAGGTGAACTGTACCTGTCATAGTAAAATGTATTTATGGCATGGATGCCTATCTAAGTGCATCATTGCATACATGTTTTTGAATATATAGCTGTGTAAATGTATACATTGCACTGTATGTTTTAAAAGTGATAAAATCTGAGCAGTATTGTTCATGTATTGTCAGTATTGGTCACATATACATGTGTTCAAGGCAAATCCTGCAGGTTTGAGATTCATGGTCCTAGCAAATTTTTATGCAAACTCACCCGGGATAAAAAAAATTCAAACTATAATGATCTGCATAACCTTTGAACAATGGCCAAGAGTCTTAAAGGGCCAAAAAAGGAGCTTTTAGCATAAGCTCCAGGATGTCACAGCGGACTCCATTTAGTAACAGGACATGGGTCTAAGTTTGGAATTGATGTCAATTATGGGCTGATGTAATTTTCCATTTCTTTTACTGAAAATAACTGACTAAACACCCGAACAGTGACTGCTTCTGATTGGATGCACTCACTGTTCAGGTGTGAGTAAGAACCCCTTTCATGTTTTCTTAGTTATAGTTTTCACCAAACAGAAATAGAGGGATAATCTTCCAATGAGGACACTCATTCTAGTGATAGCAAAGAGGGGGTTGCCTCTCACGTTGGAGAGATTTACTCTCACTCCCTGTGTGTCTCCAGAATACGAAGTTAGGGGAAATCTCTCCAGTGGGAGCACTTGGAGTAAAAAGTAGGTGTTGTAACCAAATCCTACTCTTATTTAAAACTAAAAGAAAGTTTTAAATAATAAATAAAGTTTTGGCTATAGTTACACATAACCAGTAACCAGTGAAAAGTGATCAGGTTTTGAACTCTTATGTAAAATCTCCATACCGTTTAAAAAACTGAATGGAGTCTGCATATGATTAGGATATTTTAGCACTTATCAGCATCTGACACTGCAGTTAATTATTCAACATGGCTGCACCCACAGGTTTTGCATGTTATTATTATACAGATATGCATTAAACATGTTACAATATCTAATGGTGCCACTAAGAGGTGCCCTAAAAAACTTTTTTCTTCATGTTCCATTTCTAAAAACAATGCCCCCTTTAATCCATTGGTAATTATTCATAGTCTTCTAAATAACAAGGAAAGAAAGATTATAGGAGCTGAATAACATGTGTACTTAACAACTAGTTTTCTGCTGCACTGACATTTAATGAGTAATTAGTATTTAACTCAAGGGGCCTTCTGGTTTATTAGTGCAAATCATAGTTAATGCCTGTTCAGTATTCACATAAGGGCTTCATGAATTTCTACCGTTAAAACTTTATAACATGTAATCAAATAAATGCATGTCATAGAAAGTCAGTGTATTAATGGAAAAGAAGCACATTGCAGAAAGAAAAAGAAAAAAGAATCATATTTGAATATGAGTTATGGTAACTACAATACTACTGAGGGCTTTAATTAGTCGCGCTGTGTCAGTTTAAATGTATTTAACACCTGGCTGTTAAAAAGACTAAATTGATTAATTGTTTTTAAAGCAGTCATTTTATTGAATCCCCCCTAGTGTGTGCTCCTTTCTTTGCAGAGATTAGACATTGATATAGATTTACTGCATCAACCCAGGGGACATCCTGTCCATCCGTGAGCAAAAAAGTCTTTAAGAAATGGAATATATGAGGAAGGGGAAAAAAAACAACCTGTGTGCCACAATGCATATCAAGCAGCCAATTTGTCTCATTGTGGATGCCTCATTGCTTGATTTCTTGTTCTTTTATGTACAGCTCCTGCAGCAAGCCACCTCCTCCAGTAACCTGGGCGCATTTAGCGGCATTCAGCAAATGGCTGGTAAGTGGAGAAAAAAGCATTTAATTTTAGCCAATTATGCCCTATTTTCTACGGCTCTTAAGTTCTTTTGCACTAATGATGTTCTGTTAAAAAGGGACACCCCTCTGTTAAATTCTCAATTGAAACACTTGCTCTCTTAGAAATGGAAAATTGAACCAACTGCTCCGAGGTTGAACAAGTAGTTTATCCTGCATTAGTCACCCGCCATTTGTCCCAAGCAACCAATTGTAAAAGGCAGGATAGCTTTTAGTCCCCGCAGCTGCATCATATTCTAATAATGGTGATGACAAAACAACCGCAGGACCTCGGTTTAACTTCTATGGAAATTGCAGTGTCCTGGCAACCAATTTAGTGACAACGCAGGCATTTTTACAGAAGAGCAATGAATGCTGGGAAGGAAAATGTTTTGACCTTCTTTGGCAAAATTCTAAAATTACAAGCATAGAGTCAATACTGGATTATAATACATTTTTAAACCTAGCAGAATGGTCTGGTAGCACAAGAAGCCCAGACTACAAAATTACACAGTACATTTGATTTATTTTTTCCTTCTCTCTTATCCCCCCAAAAATAAAATTATCATTTAGTTTAAAGAAAAATCAAAGCTTGACTTTATTTGAAAGGCTGTGCGTTGAAGAATTTCTCTGTAATGAGCTGTGCCTGTAGTAGCTGATGTGTAGTGATTAGTGAAAGGTCATTCCCACTGTGTGACCTTCCATGCTGATATTCTAAGTTAATATAGAGCTGTAGAAGGCAGGGCATGCAGTAAATCAGAGTCTGGATGTCCATTATGCCTGCCGTGAGAAACTGCGAGAAAGCTTTCTCTTTGTTTGATGCAAAAGCAAAACAATTTTGAGCATTAATGTGGCTGTATTTTATTTTAATCATGACCCCCACTGCATCAATGAATATGTAATAGCACAAACAAGGACAAAATGTCCCTGTTTTTTTTTCTTCCTTTCTGGACTGTGCAACACATAGTTTTCTGCTGTGTCCTGCCTACTTAATGTTATAAGCTAGACCTAGCCTTTTATGTGTATTCCAGGTGCCTGTGCCCTCGTACTTTATCTTGAATGCTGTTCCTTTATGTTTTGCACTTTGGGTAGTAATTTTATTCACATCCTATTACATTGCCACTTCCCCCAAATAGACCACAAAGTTTTTTAAACTTGAACTTTATATGTAATTGTCTAAGCAAAATGGTTACAGGAGACTTTTCTTAAGTTGCAAAAATATTAAAATGTATCCATCAAAGAACTAGCAAACATAAACAAACATTTAGTGTATTTAAAGAACAATTATTATTTATAAATGTGCATGCACAAAGAATGGGACCGATGGTAGGTCATAGGGGGTCAGATTAGGGTTATAAGTGAGGTAAGGAGTGGTTAAATGTTAGGTTTAGCCTATGGTTTAAGTTATGGTTGGGGATAGGGGCATGTGGAGAACTAACTAATTGTTTCCTTTATTTTTTACCACGTTGAACCCCCCTTGCAGAACACAACCAATGCTAGGTTCTCTGCACTAGTAGCTGATACAACTACTTTATTAAAGGATGGATCCAAGTTGCACAATATAAACAGATAACATTGTAGAAAGCACGGATAGCTTATCTGCCAAAATTATATGCCCCTAGTAAATTGACAGATTCATGTTCACTGTGCATTTCCTCCTCTAGGTCAAGCCACTAACAACACTCTGATATATGCACCAAAAGACACACAAACGTTTTACAGAATAGCAAGATTAATTGACACATAGCAATGCTTGCTTATTTCAGTACAGGTGCATATACTGTATATGATGCTTGTAAAAGTTTGTAAGCGTCCACCAACGTTTACACCAGAGCCCATATAAAAGTGGTGTATTATTTCAAGCACAAAAATATTGTGCTCCACTACCCATTGCAAATATGTTTCTATTACGTATGTTAGTTTAAGACCTTTACACACCTGTGGTTATAGTTTTACTCAGCAGACCTTTTTATGGCAAGGAAACCGCACAGTAGTGCCTCTCTCCTAATCCACCCACTATACAAACTTGGAAACCCCTTCCTACTTATTCAGCCAAGTAAAAAAATTGCCTTTCAACTAAATTAAAATATCTTGGTTAGCAAAAACAATAGCACCCAATACATTTACCATATTGCTATTTTGCTTAGAGTGGTGTGTTAATGTTTAGAACATATGTATTCTTTCCAACTCAGGATAGTATCATGATAGCAGTTACCCTTTACCTCCATTTTATTTTATACCCTGAGGTGTCAGTGAAATACAAGATATTTGTTTATGTCATTGTAAACTACAGAGATGGGTAAACATTTTTTTGCGGCAAATTCGTTTTTCTCGTTTTTGTTTTGTATTATTTGTATGTTGTTTTACACAATCTCAAGTTTAGTTTACTAATTTGTATTGAGATTGTAGTCCATTACGTGAGAGAGCTTGGAGCGGTGGCTGTTTTACAACACACACAGGGACCATGGAGAACAAAAGCAGCAACCTTCCTGAAGGAAGGACAGTGTCAGCACAAATTGAGAGATGATTGAGAGATCTGCAGCTGAGTGATGCACAAATAAGCTACATATTTGGTAATAGGGTACTTGGATGAATTTTTTTGATTTATTTCCTGAGTTTAGTATCACTTTAATCATATCATATAATCTATATTGAGCAGCTAATAGATTAACCTAGCCCCACAGCCATTAGGCTGGGTTCACACCTAGGCATACGGAATATGCGCGTTTGCCGCGCGTTTTTAGCCGCGCGTTTCCTACGCGCTGTAAAACACCCAGGTGGGAACCATGCCCATAGGCAATTATTTGTTTTCACATGTTGAACATTTTACAGCGCGTAGGCACGTGCTGTAAAACGCCCAGGTGTGAACCAGGCCTTACACTTTACCGTGTAACATGCTATGAAATAATAAGCTCACCTTTGTTTACCCTTGTGTTTTAATGATTTCACTGACCAGCATTATGAATCAATATAGTAGAAAGTAAACACCATCTACTGACTAGTGGTTGTAATGTACCCTGGCTTCCCTCAAGTTCTAAAATAATTTATGTAGTTCATTTTCACTTCATGACTAGAGGCATTAGACTTCTTGGCCAGCTATTCAAAACAAACAGTTATTCTCCATTGAAGTAGACACCAGGTATTCCTGTGATGGGGCCCCGTAACAATTTAATTTAATGTCTACCTTGTATCTTTCTCAATTCTATCAGGTTAAACACAACTCCCCGAACTGAAAATCAGGAATCCCTTTTTAAATGTGGGTTTTCACCACACAGCAGTCCTATTACCATAATCATATTTTCACCTTAGGCTAGATTTTATGAGTATAACAGGATGGCTATTCAAGAAAAAGAAAAACTTCTCCTCTGGATAAGGAGCACATTGGATCATACAGGTTACAGTGAACAGCTGGGATTTTGTTTTGGGGAAAATATATAATGTTACATAAAAGTAAATATGTAGATTATGTAATAGCCATTTTTCCAGATTTACACGACTTGGTGTAGCTTATTATTATTTGGCATGTATCTGCTCATTTTGCACATGCATGCCAAAATACAGTGTTAGAGAAGCTAAAGAACTATAACACCAAACCTTTAAATAGGGGACACTTAACATTTGTACTGCCAAACAGCATGAGTCCTTTACAATTCAATACATTCTTATCAAATATATTTAACACTTATCATTTGCATACTTTTGTAGTTCAACCAGCAGTATATGCAAGAGTATACAATTTTGATGGTCACATTTTTTACAAGTGCTGTACAGCTAATATCTGGCTATCCAGGGTAAGCGGATGCTTGTTTAAATGCATGACTGTTCTCTAATGGGAGTTTCCTGTTGGAAGCGAGAGTTTATCACTTGAGGGTTTCTCATCTGTGCGTTTTATTGTTTTCTAGATTCTAACTTCAGTTCCAATAAGTCTTTCAATATTTTTACTGGTACAAGTTTCTCCCCACAGATATTCTGTGATCAGTTGGTACAGCAACTCATTATTGCACTGGCATCTTTGAGTAATCTAAACCTGCTGCCTGACAATATAAATTGGCCTGGAGATGTAAAGATCACTGAATTATTTTCTCATCTTAACACCTGCTGGCTGTTGGTATTGTTTTCTTATTTTTTTCCATATTTATTTTTATCTAATATATGAGTAAAGACAGACCATATGATCCAAGAATGAATAAAGCTCATTTAAAATATTTCCTGTGGCCATAATGGGACACAATCAACAGAAGCAGTCAACATTCATCATATACTACTTACCTTCTATGTACAGTAATGTGTTAAACCAAAATTGATCACATTAAAATATTCTATATTATCCTTCCATAAATAAAGGCAGATCAGGCCAGTGTGAATATATAGGAATGTATTTCCAAATGGAGTTTAGGCAAAGAGTATGTTCACTTAGCTTAGTAAATAAGGTAAATCTGTGTTCACTTTAAGTACAAACTCATGTGCAAGGAAGATTAAAAAACAAGATTTTTGCTTGGACATGATTAGATGATTATAGTGAACATGCTTCAATCCTATAATATTAGTAAATCTACCTCATTGTCTTACTTGCTTTTACTGCAATCCTCAGTACTTTTACCAGTTCAGATTCCTGGCTGCTAAAGGTGTCTACAGACATTTGTAAACACAGGACACATGGAGATATGTCTCAGAAACCATCTTAAACATTTCTCTAGGGGGATGCATTTTCTGATACAAAACTGAAATGGAAGGCTGTCTGACTCCTTTCACCATAGCATCAGCATCAGCATTTTACTTTTTACCTATAAGCCTTTTGCTGTTTATAGCTAGAAGATTCTGATTCTGATTAAACTAGATACTGTATGAGGACTGATGCAACACTTTGTTACTATGAACTTGAAATCCCTGACCTCTGGTCTAAGCCCTGCCCACCTGCCTGAAAGCCCATTTCCACCTTTGCGGAAGTAATTGAAAAAAAAATACTAGCAATGTACACCGAGTGTA